AGAAGGATTAAATAATTTGACCATCAATGTTAACACAGGTTTCGATCGAGTACATAACAGGCTTGATGACCTCGAACAAAAATTTGATGACTTTCAGCGTTCATTTGAATAAACTACGTTATCTTATTTTCTTTTTTATTATTGTAATTTAAATATGTTTTATTTAGTTGCAACATTTTTCATTTCTATTATTTTATGTCATATTTAATTATTGTTTACTTAATTGATGACTGAATTATATTTTCTGTTCCATTTTACAAATATGTTATTACCCATCTACTTTGTAATGTTAAAAATTTCTTAATTTTTTAATTGGTAAAAATTAACTTGTACAATTAACAAATGTATCTTCATTTCATTCTAATTTATGTCAATGATTTATCAATTTTTTTAATTTATTAATTAACTTTCAAAAATTTTATTGTACATTTTTTTTATATTAAGAAAATTCTATTATTTAAATATTGACATCAAAAAGTGAAAATATAAAAAAAATAAAGTAATACATGTTTATAAAATTAAAACACTTTCATAAACATTAATAAAATAATGTTAGAAAATATAATTATCATAATATATTTTGTTATTATTATTTATTATTATAAATATTATTATTATTACTATTATTATTAATATTATTATTATTTATTATAATTAGTATCATTATTATTTATTGTGAGAACCGTGACTCTCTTCTCTCCCATTCAACTTTCACTTTCATTCCCACTCTCTCATGTATCGAGACGGGGTAGCCGGAGGCTAGCAAAGTAACATTCCCTAGCCGCTTTCTGATCCGCATGGACCGTGATAATTCGGCCCGATTCAGAAGGAAATTTCATGGCTAAGTGCGAAGTCGACACGATAGCACCCAACCTGTTGAGGGACGGCCTTCCGAGAAGGATGTTGTATGACGTGTTGGCATGCACCACCACGTACTTGACCGGAATGTCTCGGGCTTCGGTACCGTCGAAGCAAAAACGAGTAGATAACTTGATATATCCTTTGGTTTGGACACGTTCACCTGAGAATCCAACCAAGGGCTCGTTGTAGGGGATTAGCTCAGCCTCCGGGATGCCAAGTTGCTTAAAGGTATTCCAGTAGAGGATATCGGCCGAGCTACCTTGATCGACCAACGTTTTCCGAACAATGCAGTTGTGGATTTCGACACTGATGACCATGGGATCGTCCTGGTCTGGATCAATACCTTTAAAGTCAGCTTCGGTGAAGGTGATGGTGGGCAGTCTCTGTCTTGTGCGTTCGACCGCGTGAACGGTCCGAACGGCTCGCAGATGTCTCTTTTGTGCTGAGGAGGTCGGGCCTCCGCCTGCAAATCCACCGGCGATAGTATTAATGACCCTTCGGGGTTGAGTTGTTGGTTCCTCTTCCTTTCGATCCCTTGACCGGCTTCGTTCCCTATAATGAAGCCTGTCGGATCTGTTTCGGTCGGACTGATCTTGGCGATGTCGACGATCGTCGTATCGGGGAGAACGAGGTCGATCGACAAATCGTTGGAGTTGCCCTTGTTTTATTAAATCTTCAATTTTGTCTTTCAGGGCTGCACATTCCTCAGTCGAATGACCCCGATTGCGGTGGTATCTGCAGGATTTGGTTGTGTCGGCACGCGGGGGAGTTGACGCTCGTTTTGGTACCGCCAGGACTTCCGCCGCAAGCGCTTGGTCCAGTACGGTCGATCGGCTGGCGTTCAAGGGAGTGTAGTGAGTGTATCTTGGTCCGCGAACGGGCTTTTCTCTTGGGACCAGGTCTTTGGGACGACTGCGGTAGGAGTTTTCGGTCGGCTTCTCGGCCTTGGGCGCTACCTCTGCCCTGGCTTGGTTGCGGAATTCCGCGAGCTCCTCCATTTGCATGTACTTGTCGGCGCGGCGTCTCAAATCATCCATGTCGGACGGGGGTTTTTTGCAGATGCTGTTGGCAAACGGTCCCGGCTTCAAAGCTGTAGTCAAATGATGAAGGGCGACGGCTGGATTGAGGTCTCGGATTTTAAGAGTCGCTTTGTTGAATTGGCTCATGAAGGTCCGAAGAGATTCCTTCTTCTCCTATCTTATACTCACCAACGCGAGGGAGGTCAAATGGTGGGGTCGGCTGGTGGCAAACTGGATGGTGAACTGAGATGCTAAGGTGTTGAAAGAGTCGATCGAGTTGGCCGGGAGACGAGTGAACCAACTCAATGCTCTTCCCTTCAACGATGTTGGGAAGATTCGGCATAAGGCAGCGTCGTCTGTGGTGCTGAGGGTGACTTGGGTGAGAAAAACGTCTACGTGCTCGTCGGGGTCGGTAGTCCCGTCATATTTATCTATCGGAAGGGACTTCCAGTGATCAAGAAGAGAGGATTGCATGATGTTAGAGGTAAAAGGATGTCGGTGTGCTCCAGCCGGCGGAGCATACGCAGGTCGGCCGGCTACTTGGGCAGCCGAACCATGGTTTCCTGGAGCTATAGTGGAAGTATGGTGGAGAGAAGTGTGGTGTTCGAGCGAGTGGAACGACCCCTGGGTGTGAGTCAGCTCGGAGGGCTTCCATGTGGGATCTTTTTGGTTTTTGAGGGTAGCATTCTCTTCCCTCAAGGCTGCCATCTCTCGGGCGTCTTTCTCTCGTTGCTGTTTCATGGCGGCCATTTCCTCCTTTAGTTGTCGTACCATCTCGGTCATGTTAGTCTCGTCAACCGTCTCGGCGTTGTCCGCCTCAGATTGGTGTTCATCTTCGGATCGGTGATCTTCGGTGTGCGTTTTTCTTGTCTTTGCCATATCTTGTGCTCAGTTCGTCTTCTTCAAAAGCTATCGGTTCAGCCCCACGGTGGGCGCCAAAATGTACCAGTCAAAGGGTACACTCGTAATCTTCAAGTGGGAATAGGGCCGAACGAGAACTCCAGATGGATGCTTCAGAGGGGGGAGGTACCTGCAAAAGGTACTCCGACGCTCAAGTCAGGACAAACACGAATATCTAGGATAATAATTTAACAGTGACATACCTCGCTACGTGTGACCTATTTATAACACCTGACATGGGCCTGAGCGTAGTGGGCCTTCTCTGACACTCACCAAATTAGGTAATACGATGTTAATCGGCGGGTTAGGCCTTAATTGTGCTTTGTCCCTTGTTAATCATGATCGCTATTCTAGTTACTCAATGTTGACTTTTGGCCGAGCCGGTACAAAACGACCGAAACATTTTCTCTCGGCTTTCGACCGAGCCGATAGGGGTGGAGTACAGCTTCGAACTCCTTGCCGAGTCGAAGTGGTATCTAGGCTGCGTCATGTTACGTGTCGGTCCATGTGGCCGATCCAAGTGGTCGGGCCGAGGTGATGTTTGGGCTGCGTCGATATCTGATAGGACATGACGTGTCGATCCACGTGGCCGGTCCACGTGGCCGAGAGGGTCCTTCCGGTACACACGACAAATGTTATTAATGGGTACTCAATAGGTCCCAATCCAAGTGTAAAGTTTTTATAACGTTTCATGTTCATTATATTAACTTGCATAATGTTTAATGGTTAATGCTCATTTGTTGCATCTTTAATTTTCAGTTGTACCAGTTATATTTGGGTGCTGATTTTCGGCTCTCAACGTTGGATGAACGTTCAAATTATAAATAAAAGTGGTTTTACAATTTACATTTTTTCTCATTACTTTTTTTCTTCTTCTCTAACGTTTTTCTTCCTAATGTTGGTGTGTCATTTTTTGTGTTGATGGATATACAATTTCTTAACTTTTACATCTAGTGTTCCGATTTCATTACTCTTAAGTTTATGTTTTGTGCTTTTAGATATAGTGTTTTTACACTTTCATCTTGTTTTTTTGCATTCTTATCAATTTCACTTGCTTCTTTGTATATTATTTCCTTTAGTTTGATCCCATTTTTTTTCTATGGTTCAATTTCATTCATGTGTTTTGTGATTGTTGTTTCTATTTATTTATTTTTTCCACTTTTGGCTATCATTGGGTTTTGATCTTGGTTGATGCATATTTTGAATTATTGCAATTAAAGAGTGTTATGCAGTTGCTTAGCTTATTAAATTTGACAATCGGTGTCAAAAGTTTATAGATACATATATTTTGAAGCTTTTTAAGTGATTCAAGTAGTCTAAAGTCTAAACAAGTTGTTGGATATTGAAAAATATATTATAATTTGGTTCAACTAGATGTCAAAAGAATATCACTTATTTATTGGTTTTTAAAGACTATTCAAGCTATTAAAAATAATGTTACATATCTTGATAAAAAAAAGTTTGTTTTGATAAATTTTTACATTAAAGATAAATTAGTTTGTGAAACATAGATAACAATGATAAATTAAATTATAATGTACAAAATTTATTCCAACAAATTTAATATTGATTCTCACTAAACCAAAATCTAAGTTGACGTGTTAAAGATTTTATATGTTGTTCCTTTATATTTACATTCCAAATAATAAGAGGTTTATTTAAACCTATAACAGTTAATTGGTAAAATCCTTAACTCCCTACTTGATAGAGGGGATGAAATGGAGAGAATGGCAAGGAATAGGTGAGAATTATTTTGATAAAAAATAGGTAGAAAACAGAGTATAATATAATAAAATTATAATTGATTGGTAGAGTAAAATTATGTGAGAAATAAAGATTAATTGGTATTTTAAATTTGTACTTTATTGAGTTAAAATTTTATATAAAAATAAATAATATATAAAATTACCATTTTAACCTTTGATGTATTAATGTACGTTTTTTTTTTTATGTAGACAACACGTGAGGATAATAACATATTAGAATATAGTGTCATACACAACATATTTAAATATGAGATATCTATAATGAAATATAGTCTTATATATTCAATTACGATATACCATAACGAAAGTAAAAACTAGTAAATAGTCATAAGAAGTTGAACAAAAGAGAAGAATATTAATATTTTTAAATATAATTTTACTCAAATCCTCTAATTTTTTTAGGTAATTACTGTTAATATGGATATTACATAAATTTCACTTAAAATCTCCCTTTTCTTTTCTTTACTAAGCAAGATTGTCTTTTTATTGTTTCCCTCAAATCCACTCCCCTTCCCACTCATCCCCTCAAATTCATTTGTATTAAGCAAATAGTAAAACATATATGTCGATATGTCAATTGTCAAAAACATGAAATAAGTCAATTAGGTTTCAAAATATAATTTTACAAAACAAAGAATTTGTATTGCATTTTGTCAAAATTACAAATATTCAAACAAGTATAAATTTTGACTTTGAATATGTAGCCTCCTTCTTCAAAGTTTATATACTACGTATTTGAACTTGTACACATCTGAATAAAAAAAAAACTGTTAAGGAAAAAAAAAGTAATATTTTATCTGTGTGAATCCCATATATAATGTTTGTATTTCAATCAGTAAAATTAACAAATAATATTAAATTTGTAAAAAAAAAATAGAATTTAATTAATGTTAAGGGAATGCTAATAAAATCGATTAATTATAAATCTAATATATACATATTATAAAGAAAATATATTTTGGTAATCATTATTTGGTTTTCACTTTTTAATGAATGATTATACTCCTTAAATGTAGAAAAAAAATCTTATATATTCATTAAATATTTATGTATAACTTTTAATATTTGTTTGTGTGTAATTATTAGAGACAAAAATGTCTCGATCTCTCTAATAAAAAATAATATACATGATATTGTCATGGCTAAAAATAATCATTTAATTATCATATTTACTTTGAATATTAGTTTTTGTATGTTATATTACATTAAGATTAATTTCTATATAAAAAATGCAAATTTCAGTCCTATTATTATTTTTATTAATACATAATATTCCTTGTCATTGTATGAAAACCTTCTTCAAATTATCTTCATAATAACTAAATTCATGAATTGACCTCCAACAATGATTGAAAATAGTCGCTAATCTACAAAAAGTAACTATTAACAAGTGCGTGGAAGGAAATAAAACACAAATGAAGAAAGTCATATAGTAATGGTTGAAAAACTTGCTTTCTTTAGATAGTTCATATTGTTTGCAAGTATCATTGTCACAAATCACGTAGGTGAGTTTAATTTTGCCAGAGGTTGTGTTGAATACCTCTTTGTCTAGATGCACACCTTGGTTCCTTTAATCACCAAATTCGCCCATGGGTCATGCTATCACACACACTTTTGTGACTGTGTTAACATCTCAATAACTTTTATCAAAACAAATTATGACAACATTTGCTTCTTTGTTTCACTTTTTTTTTTAATAAACTTTTATTTATTTAATAATAATATATACATATAATTTGATACATGAATGAAACTTATATTAGTATACATTATTTAAATCAAATGTAACTATAACCATTATTATTTACGACTCAACTTTTTTTTTCACGTGAAACTGTTATGCATGACTCCATTTTCTTTTTCCTTAGTTTATAAAATTATATTATCATATTATTATTATTTTCTAAAATAAAATAAAAAGAGTTACAAAATAATTTTTCTCACTAGTTATTTTATTTATTTATTTAAGGTCACTATTTTATATAACAAGAGAAATGTGATAAATGAAACAGGAGATATTAGATATGGCGGGAAGGCAAGGCAATGACCACGTGCGTCTCGCGTGGACTCCCGCCAAGTAAGTGTAGAAACGGAGACTCGTTCGTTAATCACTATCACTCATCCTCGCGCCTCTCTCGTAATTTATGAATTTCACACTTTTTCTTCTTCCCTTTCAATTTTCCAAACCCTTGGCGCCAAACTAGCAGGTTAGGGTTAGGGTTAGGGTTCCAATGGGAAGCAAAGACAGCGACCACCACTTGTCCACCGTCCGATCCATCGTCGGTTCCGAATTCACCGACATGGAAATCATCAGAGCCCTACACATGGCCAAAAACGACGTCACTGCAGCAATCAATATCATCTTCGACACGCTCACACCCTCAAAATTCAAACCCACTCGCCCCAGCAATCCGCAGCCGGTTTCTCCTCCAACACCCTCCTCTCCCGCCGTCACCGTCGCCGCCAACTCCAACCATAGTGACGGCGAAGGACGCAGCGTTAATAACCGCGATGATTGGTGGTTCGTGGGTTGCGGCGAAATGACGGGTTTGTCCACGTGTAAAGGGAGGACTTTAAACTGCGGCGAAACGGTGGTTTTCAAATTTCCGACGAAGACGCTCTCGGCTTCGCCTAAGGGGTTCGGACGTGCAGCGACTTGTTCGGAGATAGTTCGATTCTCCTCCGAAAGAGCTGGGGAGGTATTACGCAACGACGTCGTAACGTAGCTAGCGGTTGTTCAATTCAAATTGTGGTTTGAATAACGGTGTTTTGGTTTCGCAGATTGGTAGAATACCGAACGAATGGGCTCGGTGTCTTTTGCCTCTTGTGCGGGATCGTAAGGTTAGAATTGAGGGGCAGTGTAAATTCGCACCTAATGTTTTGGGCATCATGGACTCCATTATTTTGTCGGTGAGGTATACTTCGCATTGTTTATGGATGAAATTTTATGGTTTGCAGTGAATTTTTTTGATGGTGAAAACTGAATTCGGCTTTGTTTATGGGATCTGTGTCAGTGTATTTATCAACAGTTCGCTGTTTGGCAAGCATCACCAGGTTTCTCTCAAGGATGCTGCCAACTCCACGGATGAGTCAGTGTTTCATCCGCTTCCAACTTTGTTTCGGTTGCTTGGCCTAAACCCTTTTAAGAAGGTGGTTGTTGGTCCTGTGTCACCTGTTTTTCTTTGCTATTTTTCCTGAACATATTTAATGTAATTGGCCTATTCAGTTTGAAGCTATATTTTCTTACTGCCTGTGTGGAGTTAACTTATGTTGTTGGATAAGGTAACTCTCTAGTAAGTCAGCAGAAAGTTTTACTTAGTTATTGACTTGCATCATCACTTGGTTTTTAGGCAGAGTTAACTCCTGGTGATTTCTATTCCAACAAGCGTCCTCTCAGCCAAAGGGTACAAAACTGTGGATTTAATTGCTTTGTGACTATTTCTGCAATCAATTTTCATGGTGCCTTTGTTTAATAGGAGAGATATTCTCTTCAGGTCCCATCACTACGTGCCAAGTCTGAGTATCCTTCTCAAAATGGTCACGAGAATGACAATGAAGATTCCATTTCAGAAATTGATGTTGAGAACATTGTTGGTGTTGGATCAAACTCAGAGTTAGAGGTGCTGTATTCTGATGGCAACATGCACTGTTCTACTTATTCTTATAAATGGTGGTGCAATAATCTTTAACAAGATATTGTTGTTCAGGAAATGGATCCCCCTAGTAATCTTCTGTGTGAACTGAGGCCCTATCAAAAGCAAGCGCTTTATTGGATGATACACATGGAGAAGGGACAAGCTATGGATGAGACAACAACAACCCTCCATCCATGTTGGGAGGCATATCACCTGGCTGACAAGTATGTCTGTGTTTATCTGATATCATGGTTTTAAATTGTAGTTGCATTGTGACTACCAAATTGTGGACAAATGCATTAGATGTGGCCGTTATTGCGGTTGTGAACCCCAATTTAAAACCATGTTTAACACACACACACACACACACAGATAATCAATGAGTGATTTTGATTAAGTATTTGTGCTTGTACTTGTTAGGAGGGAGCTTGTTGTTTATTTGAATGCATTTTCTGGTGAAGCCACAATAGAATTTCCTAGCACCCTTCAAATGGCCAGAGGAGGAGTATGTTTCTTAAGGAGTTAACCCTGGAATTTTTTCTTGCTTTTGCATGTAGTTCAATGTTTGTAATGTATTATTTTATTGTGGATATGAAGATTTTGGCAGATGCTATGGGGCTTGGAAAGACCATCATGACCATATCCCTTCTCCTTGCCCATTCAGGAAAGGGTGGACAAATAGGAAGTCAACCCATAACCCAGACCTTTATTGAAAGCAGTGATGTTAGTGATACAGTGCACAATTTTTCAAGCATACCCAAGAAGGCAAACAAGTTTGCTGGTTTTGATAAACTGGGGAAGCAAAAGAATGCTCTAACAAGTGGTGGCAACTTGATAATATGTCCTATGACTCTTCTTGGGCAATGGAAGGTATTTGAGCTGTCAACTTTTGCATATTTAGCTGTCTGGTTACAGCATTTCTTTACTTGAAAGTTAGTATCACACTATATTCAGTTAAGGGATGTATAGAGTTAGTCAAATACTTTATAGTTCTGAACATTTCACATTTCTCCAGGCAGAGATTGAAACTCATGCACACCCCGGGTCTCTGTCTCTATATGTTCACTATGGACAAAGTAGGCCAAAAGATGCAAAAAGTCTTGCTCAAAGTGATGTTGTAATTACTACATATGGAATCTTGGCCTCTGAATTTTCTAGTGAGGTAGTTGAAACTTGTTTGTCATCTATTTGCTTCATTTCTTAAGACTTATCAACTGCTGCATCTTTCTATCTATCTGATGTACAGAATGCAGAGGATAATGGTGGGCTCTTCTCAATTCGGTGGTTTAGAGTGGTTCTTGATGAAGCACATACCATAAAATCTTCTAAAAGCCAAATTTCTATGGCAGCTGCTGCTCTAATTGCTGACAGACGTTGGTGTCTAACAGGCACTCCTATCCAGGTGAACTATAATTATTTCTTACTCTTATTTCATGGCTGACAACTTTCTTTTTGGTATTTGTGGATTTATTAGCTAATTGATTTACCAAGAAATGGAGAATAAGAAATTTCACTCTAATCCTAAAATTTTACAGAAAATCACTACAAAATGCATTAACTTGATATGCTAGAAATCTTTGATTGCTCTAATATTATTTTGTATGATTAAGCTTATGAAATCATTAATTAGCTTTGACAGTGCCTTATGTGGTTTCCATCTTTGAGTTGTACAATTAGAATCTGTCCACGACATTGTAGTATCATAATTGATGAGGTTTTGCTCCTTCATGGTATGAGTCATCTTGCATCCTGGCTCAGTTGCATATTAATTTATTATTCATGTTTATATCAGTGTTGAATTGGACATGGTGTTTAAGCATGATAACCCTTGGTCTGTATTTCACATGTACCTTTCAATGCTGTCAAACCTTTAGTTTCTGTTTGGATAAACTTTGACTCTATTTAGATAAACTTCTCCATAAGCATTTCTAGGATATGAAATTTAAAAGAAAAAATGATATAAAGTTCTCCATAAGCTAAAATTAGCTTATATATAAGTTAACAAATATATTTTGGAGAAACTAATATGATTGAGCTTATAGAAATTAGTTTATGCACAAATTAATGTGAAAAGCTTTCTCCTTTAAGTTAAAAATCAGTTTTGGGATTTTTTCAGCAATTTCCAAGAGAGTACGTACTTCAGTTTTTTCTTGCAACCTGCTGTTCATGTATTTGTATTGGTGGCCTATTTTGGACTAGTCACGAGTCTCATGACAGATGTAGTTTTTATGCTTCCTGACATGGAGCCCTTTTTAATCTACAGAACAGCCTTGAGGATATTTATAGTCTTCTGCGGTTTCTGAGAATAGAGCCTTGGGGTCATTGGGCCTGGTAAGTTTATGTCTTTCTTTGTGTTGGATATGATATCTCTTTTGGATTATGTCCAATGTTTTCTTCTATTTCCCCCTTTTTCTCATCATTTTTTTTATTTAACTTCTGAAGGTCATTTTTGGATGGTGATGGTGAATAATGCTAGGTTTTGATTTTGATTTTTTTTTTTGGGGGGGGGGGGGGGATATGGTTTTAAACTCTACTTTTGATTCCATGTATCTAACAGCATTTAGAAAATTCTACAATTTAGGGAAGCAGCTTTCAGATATTTCCTTCTGAGGATTGTAACAAATAACAATGATAACAAGACTTGTACATGAAGTTTATAATTTTGTAGCATAAATCTTGTATAAGCTTAAGACAAGTGGTCTGACTGTCCTTTTTTACTTTGCTTTCCAAATTTCTGTTGGTTGATGATAGAATCAACTGGTAAAAAGAGAGATCGTGAAAGAAAGAAACAGAGAAAAAAATGTCTGCAAGGTTTTTATTGACCCCCTCGTTGAGCCACGCCAATGTTCAATCAAATTCAGTACACAAGGCAATTTCGAGAGTGCCCTCTCTCCCTGATTACAATCCTCTGTCCCCTCTCTCTTCCCTTATGTCTTCCTATTTATACAGTATAACAGTCCCTACAGAACTGTTATCAGTTAATTATTAAAAATAACTAACTGCCTCCCTTTTCCCTCCTAACATAGACTTGTTTAACCATAGGTCTCCTATCAGTTGATTACAATGGTATCTGTTGGTGAAGAATTCTATTTATGATTTGATTGGGTTTTTTAGAATAATTTTTCTAGTCAAAATCTGTGTAACATAATTGGAGTATGAAACCAAGTTGGATATCATGAATGTTTAGCGTAGTCATCTAATGCAAAATATTTGTTGTGGGTAGACATTTTATTTTAAGTAACTGTGATTCTGTTTATTACTTTGATTGTTTACTCTTTTTGTGTATGTGGATGGAGTACTGGACTGTGAAGATTTGTTTTATATGATTCAGGTGGAACAAACTTATTCAGAAACCATTTGAGGGCGGTGATGAAAGAGGGCTGAAGTTAGTTCAATCAATTTTAAAGCCAATCATGTTGAGGAGAACCAAACATAGCACAGATCGAGAGGGAAAGTCAGTAAACTGGTCAAAGACCTTTGCTATTTTAACATACAATTTATTCTATTAACTTATAATTTCTTGCAGGCCCATCCTAGTTCTCCCTCCAGCTGATATGCAGGTAATTTACTGTGAACCCACAGAAGCTGAAAAAGACTTTTATGAAGCCCTATTCAAAAGATCTAAGGTATTCTGGATTTCTAATCTAAATTTAATAATTTCACCTTACATTTTGGCACTGAAACAGTCACATTGATCCAACCTTTTTATGAAATTTATGCAGGTAAAGTTCGACCAGTTTGTTGAGCAAGGGCGTGTTCTTCATAATTATGCTTCAATATTGGAGTTACTTTTACGTCTTCGGCAATGTTGTGATCATCCATTTCTTGTAATGAGGTATGATGTCATACATTCCTGTTGGTATACATGATTATTGTACCAAAATTCTGCTGCCAGAACAACTTACTGTAATTGGAAGCATCTTGTCTGGTCATTTTTTGGTCTGGTTTGGTTAATTTTCAATTTCAGGAGAAATTTCAGTAGAAGAGACCTAAAATTTATATATGAACTCTGGCCTCTGAATTATATTGTATAGTAGTTACAATTTCCAAGTTGAATTTAGGAGTGGTAAGCTTTAGCATACTAAAATTGATCAGGATGATAATCCAATGATGAGATGTTGGATGATGGCAACATTGTGGAGGCCGGAAAGTGAAAACCAAAATCAATAACTCGAAAGTCGTTTTACATAATAGGTGTAATTGTAAAATTTTCTTTCTGACTTCACCTAAATTTTATTAATTTCTGAAACTGAAGACTATTAAGGAGAGAAAAATAAAATTTATCTGTACTAATCGAATTTGGAGGGGCATGGATTTTTAGAATGGAACATTAAGTCAGTACTTTGGTTGGTAATAGAATTGAAACTAACAGGTCTGTTTTTATAAGACTTTCTAAAGTTGGTGGCCCCTGCTCATTTAATTTTCGGGCTGTGGGTTCATCACAAACTTGTTTTATTTCTTGATATCCATATATATAAGATTTTTTTTTACTTTGTAATAGTTTGGTGTCTTTGATTGCATCAGAACAATATGCTGCATAGAAATGAGTTTGTTGTTGCATAGGATGGTTTTCTTAGCTTTGCTTGATGTTTGTTGGGAAGTTTGTTTGATGTAATGTGATTGAACTTTGAAAAACACTCGTGATTATGTTTTCTTTGTCGCTTGTACCTTTAAGTTGTCTTCTCTTCAAAAGCCTTAGCTTATTATCATGGTAACAATTGATTCATTTAGTCGAGGTGATACCCAAGAATTTGCCGATCTGAACAAACTAGCTAAGCGCTTCCTTAGAGGAACCTATAATGCTTCAGAAGGTGAAATAAAAGACGGACCTTCACGGGCTTATGTTCAGGAAGTTGTTGAAGAGCTACGCAAAGGGGAGCAAGGAGAGTGTCCAATATGTCTTGAAGCATTTGAAGATGCAGTGTTGACACCTTGTGCTCACCGCTTATGCCGGGAATGCCTCTTGGCAAGTTGGCGAAATGCTACTTCTGGTTTATGTCCTGTTTGTAGGTATTATCAAGCTAACCTATTAGAATATTGGATACCTTCTATTTAACTTTGACTGAAGAAGTTTAAAATTGTCTTTATTGCAGCAGTTATGTTACAAATTCTAAACAATATTGTTTCTTTTTACAGGAAAACGATTGGCAGGCAGGATCTTATCACTGCCCCTACTGAGAATCGGTTTCAGGTGGATATTGAGAAGAACTGGATAGAGTCGTGCAAGGTGACTGTTCTTTTGAATGAACTTGAAAATCTCCGCTCATCTGGCTCCAAAAGCATTGTTTTCAGCCAGTGGACTGCTTTTCTCGACCTCTTGCAGATTCCCTTCACTAGGTAAGATTTGTTGCTGGTGGAATCATATCATATCATATTCTAGGAAAGATGCTGTTGTTGTGGGAGAGAATCTGCGTGAATGTGAATTCTTCATTGTGTTGCAATATTACAATTCTTTCTAAGTTGATGTCTGCTTTGACGATTGCTATGATCTTGCAGCATGCTTCATCTGTTCCTTTAAAACCGTTAATGCCATTATGAGTGTAAATGTGTGATTACCTTTTTATTGGTTTAACACATTTTTGCAATGAACAATACCGATGAGGTTTGTTTCTTTGTGACTTTACACGTACAGGAGTAACATTTCATTTGTTCGTCTTGATGGGACTTTGAATCTGCAGCAGCGGGAAAAAGTAATCAAGCAATTCTCAGAAGACAGCAACACCCTGGTCTTGACATACTTCCTCATGCATTTGTTTCAGATCTAGACAGTTTAGTGAAACTGGTTCAATGCATTAACTATTTATAACCATCAGTACTTATTTCTTGCATCAGGTCTTGTTAATGTCATTAAAAGCTGGTGGAGTGGGTATAAACCTACCAGCCGCTTCTAATGCTTTTGTCATGGTAGGTGCAAACTGTTTTTTAACCAAATCACACGGGGATAAAGTGTAATAAATTTGAATTCGGATAATTGGATTTCTATTAATATTGGGTATGATCCGCATGATGTGAGTTAATCAAATTGATTGTGCAAAAAACTCATCCTCGACAAAGTTATTATTACCAGCATTGGGTGCATCTAAGAAGTCAAAAAGTGACCAAAATCACATGATCTTTAGTGGAGTGTATAATATATGCTCTCCCTACATTATTAAAATAAAAATCTTCATTACCCACTACCCAGACAATTACAACTTACCAAATGTGTACTTTTGTTGCTTTTATACAGCATTTTAAAATTTTAGGAACAAACACATTACATTACCTTGTCTCAAGTTATCATTGAGGATTAATTAGTCAGAGCAAAATATTTGCATCACGTTGTAATTTAAAGATTCAAGATTTAAAAACATCTTGTTTAGGGTGACACTATTCAAATTTAAATTATTACTGCTCAGCATTCACTAATTCTTTTACTGACTTCTGTATAAATTTATAACAATTATTATTTTGTATTCTACAGTAATTAGTTGTTTTAGATTAAAAAATTAATCTATACAATATATAGGAGTAAATAATTGTCATGCATATAGATTTCAGATAGCCGCATCAGAATGTTTTATGAATAACCTATCCAATATACAGTGACATTATTATTGACATTTGGAAAATATTTTTTAATTTTTCACTTTGGACAGGACCCATGGTGGAATCCGGCTGTTGAGGAACAAGCTGTCATGCGTATACATCGCATTGGACAAACAAAGAAGGTGGCTATTAAAAGGTTTATTGTGAAGGTACATTTAATATCCCATTTTTTGAAAAACTTGCGCATATTTAATCTGGTCCAGTTAATTGCTTCACTTAGTACAAGAAACCTGGTAGCGAACTGGTGAAGTTTTTGTGACGAAGCTTCTGGCTGAACCGGACTGCTACCTTTTTATGAAAATATTTGTTCTATAATATTTTTTTTAAAGGAAGTGCTAAAAATTTAATTAGGGCAATGCTTGCTGTATGAGATTGCTTTGTTGAAGAGAGTTAATTTGGATAATTACGTATCACTTGTCAGCACGTCTGTTTGGTGTCTATCACCAAATTATGTGAATTTTCACCTTGGTATCACTATCAAGTATTAACTTATTGTTGACTTGAATGTGGCATTTGTTCTCATGTTTAACACTGCAGGGGACAGTTGAGGAGAGAATGGAGGCAGTGCAAGCACGTAAACAACGAATGATTTCTGGTGCCTTGACTGATCAAGAAGTTCGAACTGCTCGGATTGAGGAGTTAAAGATGCTTTTTACTTAGACCATTGAGGCAGTACAAAAAGACATGTTTGCTTGCTGTTAGGTGCACCATCACTTCCACATTTTTTGCTTCTCCTGGTTTTCTTTTGTTCTCAAGGGCTGGTGATCTGCAAGGTAATTGTGACTTGTAACATGAAGGTGCTTCTTAGGCAGCATGTGTGCCAGGGACTCGTTATAGCTTGCAACTTACATAGCAAGATCAAGTTTAGTGCATGTCTTGATCAACACAATGCTCGAGACAGGCTGTTTGGAAGGGGAGGGGCAATTTAGATGAACATCTTTGATGTATATGGAGATATGCTATTGTTATGCTATGCTATGTTTGAGAGAGGGGAACGAGTGGAAAGAGAAGAAATGGAGGGACTTATTTCCCCTAGTTTGATATTTAAGTTAAAAAAATAAGGGGAATTCCCTTCATGTTTGGGACTTAAAAGTTAAAATGGAGGGAAGGATAAGTTATAAATTTAGATTTACAATACGGTTTTGTCAATCTTAAATTATGTCGAGTGTATATATGTAATTCAACAACTGTTTAATTAAAAATGAATTCTTTCGTCTAACCCCAATTCGGAGGTGAAGAATTTTTGGGTAGACATATTTGCTCTGTATCCTTTCTTCCCATAAAAAAAAAAAGAAAAAAGAAAAGAGCAACCGTTACACGCTTACAATACATCTTCCATGTGTACTTTTTATTTTAATATGGAAATATCTCCATAGTTATACATAAATTATCTCCATATTTAAACTTTTATATTTTAATTAACCAAGTTATAATGGTGTTAACGCGTGAGAATTCAATTACAAGATCTTTAAAACTCAATAAGATTCGTTATAAACAACTACTCGTTATACTTTTATCAATTAATTTTATTTGATTTAATTATTTTTTTATTTTTATAATTTTATAATTTTTATCTTTTAGTCCTATTAATTAAAAAGGTTCTATTTTTAGCTTTTTATATATATAATTTTTTTTTTGTCTCTGTTAACCTCTGCCTTCTACTTTTATAGGAATTAAAAAGGAAAGTTTATGTAATTATATTAACTAAAAGGAAACAAAAAATTTTGTATGTATAAATTAAAATGAAATATTTTTAATTAAAAGGACTAATAAGTAAAATTCATGAAACTATAAAGATTAAACGAGTAATTAAATCATTTTATTCTAACTCAATTATTTATAATTCAAATATTACTGTAATAGTTATGACAATTTAAAAGGAAAAAAAAGTTAAAATATTGTTACATAGTAAAGTATACTTGGAGTCAATTTAGTATTCTTAAGATTAATTTTTGCCCATTTAAAAATAATATTTAATTAATAAAAAATTATGTTTTACGAACACAAATTAATCTTTAAATTTCAACTTTAAACCCTAATACTTGATCATGAATAAAAAAAAAGTACAAACTTAAATATAACATACAACATACTCAAGGATGGTGACATAGACCAATCCGATTATACATTAGCGAATAATTGATAAGTTTTGGCATCAAGAACTATCTGCCTAACTGCTGCAACTGCTGCTATAGCTGCCAATATTGAGAAAGCAATAACAATAGTTACGTTCAACCAGAAAATGGGGCTTCGCTTGGATGGCTTAAATGTCACATTAAAGAAAATCATTGGCAAAATGAAGTCAAGTGGCATATAACAAAATGCTCCTATTAGCGAGTTTATGTCCCCAAAAAAGGGAAACATTGCTGCTATAGTAGTTGCAGTAACTACAGCTAATGATCGAGAAATCAATCTTGGAATTATATTGCGAGGAGAAAACTCGGGGCTTTCTGCGTCTCCAAATATTTGCTCTAGTATTACATTTGTTGGCTGCAAATACTCCTGCACCAAATGTTACAGTTCAATGGTGAACTAAATCCTATTTGAGGTAAAGAATGAGCATTTACTGTTTTTGGATTATGATTTAAAATTCATGGTTTGAGATCCAAAATTATGTTCAAAAACAACATAAAAATGATTTGTCAAACATGTTATTGAGTATTAAATTCAGTCTACACTCTCTTAACTCATGTTTGGTGTGTGTAAACTGTGACCAAAACATGCACTGAGGAGTGCTATAATGGGAATTAGGATGTTACTTACCACACCATTAGCTGATAGTTGGGCTATTGTGCAAATGTTGGGCATATAAATTAACCACTTAGGAGCCAAAGACTTGTTATTATCTATGAAGTTGCTAAAAATGAGGCCCTCAGCTTGATTTCCAAATGCCCAATAGCCAGAGATGGCTACGCTAAAGAAACTGAATGCAAGTACAGCATAACAAACACATAGTCCTTTCAGCATTTTCCCTTTAATTGGTGGTGCTAATGTTGCCTGTAGCCAAAGAAAGCGCAAACACATACTTTGATGGCATGCATATATTAAGAAGTTTTATATATAAGAGGGAACTCATCTGGCTGTTTCAAACCTGAATTTCTGGAATTATTCCGCTGCCACAAGTGTTGGCAATGATGGCAATGGCATTAGAGATTCCGAATAACCGATTTGCTGTATCACCTTTTACAGAATAATCCTTTTCTGGTCCATTTGATGAGTTTCCTAAATAAATAAACATTTGGAAAATTCAGAGAAAAGAGCACTCAATTGTAAGCATAGGTGCTAATTATTTAACTGGATTAATAATGAGGGAAAGGAAATACCAATATATATGGAAGCTGCAGTAGCACAAAGGCTATAGATTAAGCACATGACCAAAGACACCACATTAATATGTCTCAATGAGTGGAAAGATGGAATTTGTGCCAAAATCAGCATGAAGCATCCAAATATCACTACAAACTCATAAAGCTTCATAGTCCCATTTGGATTTGACAGCAGATAAATTGTCTGTAGTTGATGATACCATTAGGAAAAGCTATGCAGAATCAGTACATATTGGTCCATGTCTACATACTCATGCATTGAACATTTTTTTTCCTTTTGAAATTATGAAATTTTCATTTTTAATAAATATTCACTAACTTATTTTTCTAAAATGTAAAAAATAATTTGATATATTAATAGAAAGTTATTTTCCTTTTTTTTTTATACATTTTATAAATAGTAAATAACTCTTATTATTATTATTTTCATGCAAAATCTTACCCTCAAACATATGTTCAAAATCACATTTTTAAACTTAAGATCAAATAAAAGTGAGATGATATATACAGACTATACATATCCTAACAAAAGTTGTTCATTTCTTGATACAAGAGGGTGTAAATTATTTAACTATAAATGAAATGTTAGCAAGACATTCTCTAACACATTTATCTTAATACATTCTCTTATTAGTTATTGGTTAGAATTTATTGAAAATCATAAAAGAGTGTATTTAAAAGAGTGTGTCATAGAGTGTTTTTAGAGTTCTAGTATTTCTCTTAATTGTAATATCTAAATTAACAATGCTCACACCGTCAAACTTTTAAAACTTTATTTTCTGAATAAAATTCATCATGCATATTTGTTTGGTACTCTTTATTCTGATATAATTTTAAGAAAATATGAAATAATTTTTAAAAACACAAATAAAAATTAATTGAGTTTAATTCAAATAATTGAGTAAAATGCATGAATTGTTATAATCTCCTAATACGAAATTTGACTTTAATGGATAAAAAATAAAAAATGTATTTAAGTATTATACAATAAACTTTAGTTTAATATATTAGAAATAAAGGGATAAAAAATGTATAGTGATATGCACTAACCTTCATGCATTGTCCCCCAAGAATAGCACAAAGCACTTCATTATTATAGCACATTGCAAATTGAATTGGCCCCACAAAAAATCGACCCCAACGTGGACCTTCCAAGGTTAATAATATTGATACATCAGTTCTGAGCCCATTTGGTCAAACATGAGTATGAGTTGGTCCTAAAACTTAATAAACGTAGAAAAAGTTTTCAGATCAATCAGCTAGTGAGATGAGGAGTGAGGACCACCATGTTTGTATAGACTTCATCTTGAATTTCAAATACAGTGGATTCTAACTGTCTATCCAGTGATCGATGTTTCTTGTACCAAACATGAAAAATGCTTTTTACTCGCTTGTTTCTTTAAGCATTTGTCACATAGGCAGGTTATCCATCGATTTAGAGTAAGTGGTTTAAGACTAAAAGAACCTTGAAAGAGAAAGAATTGTTTAGATTTTTGGGTAAATTAAAACGTGGTAAAATGGTTCATATAAAATAGAAATTAAGATAATTATTAAAAGGAGTATAACTTTTATATAATATATAGATATTTATATTTATTATAAATGAAATATCAATATGCGTAACTTTTTTTTTTCACTATTTAGTAAATCATTATATCCCTTAAATATTGAAAAGTAATAACTTTTCATATTCTCTCCAAATAATTAATGATAATCATTTATTTCATTATCTTTTTTATTTTATTTTTAAAAATTTAAAGGTATGAAATGTCTCCTTTTTTCACTAATCTATATTTACATTATATATAAAATGAATGCTCTTTTTAATAGTCGTCTTGATCTCTACATTTAGTAGATCATTATATCTTTTTATTATTAAAATAATTAAAAAATCAAAATTTTTATCAAATCTAAAACTTGAATTCATGACTTTAGGGTTTAAAGACAAACTATAACACCAGTTAAACTAACATGCTTAATAGAGATATAAAATATCTAGATTCTATTAGTATATATAAAAAGGATAGTTTTAGTAACCACCCTTTTAATTTTCATTTTTTTATTGGACACTATTACCTTCAAATTTATACTACACAACATTTTAACAATTATTTTATCCCAAAATCCTCTAAAAAATAAATATATAGAGAGGTAAGAAGTGATTTTTTCCCTTACTAGTATATGACAATATGAATATAACTAGCCATGAGTCTATGATTAGAAAATAAAATGTTAGAATTGCACTTTTGGTCTCTTTGTAATATCAAGTTCATAATTTTGGTTTCTTTATTTTTAAATTTATAATTTTAGTTATCTCATTGAATATTCATCTATTGATCATTAAAATTACCAACACTCGTTGTGATCTATCATTATTTAAATGATACAATAAATAATATTTAATAATATTTAAACTAAATTACACTTTTAATTCTCATTTTTATATCATTTTACTACTTTTATAAGATAAAAATGAGAACTAAAAATATAATTTCACATAAATATTATTAAATATTAATTGTTATACCAACTACTTCATATCAAATTATAACTAAAAATACAATTTTAATGATTAACAAATAAACATTTGTTGGAAAAATAATTCAAATTTTTAAATATAACATTTCACCTAAATACAAATACTAATAAAGAAGCGTTTCTAATGTAATAATAATAATAATAATAATAATAATAATAATAATAATAATAATTATTATTATTATTATTATTATTATTATTTTATGATTAACCATATTATAATCACTTTTTTCTTCTTCTAAATTATAGTATTATTTTATTTTAATAAAAGAGTTGAATATATCCTTCCAGAACTAGCATGTTAATAATGGGGGAAGAAGTGTAGTATACCTAAAATGTCACGAGCCATGTCTCTGTATAGAAGCTGTCGATTTCCCAAATGAGCATTGTGCTCAAGGACCAGAGATATCAGATTAAATGAATAGAAACTGACCAAACCTCCAATTACCAAACAAAATATTCCACCCTTCCATCCTAGGAAGGTGAAAGTACAAGGAAGACTTAGTAATGATGGAGACACAATTGAAGTTATCAAGTGGTAACCACAGTGCATCCATGAACCTACAAGAAGTCATAAATGAATCGCATGTATAATCATTTTTTTTCAATTAAATTGCAGAATGTATGATACCCTTTTGTTTTTCATCCAGGAAAATGAAAATCTTGTTGCTTACTCCTTGTGTGCTCCAATTACAGAAACAATGAAATGCATGCAATCACAAAAAGACACTTAACAAAGTTACGTAACCATGTGTGAAATAGTTATACTAACGTAAAAGATTATTGTTTATCCTTTTCTATAATCTTCGTGACACTATACTTGTGGTCATTATTCTTGGAGAATACCAATAATGAAATTAACATTAATACACCACATATTGAACCCTACAAGATGACAGAAGTAATGAACTACTAAACATAAGAATGAAAAAAATAAAACTAAAAATGATTACTACCTTTTGATTTGAGGACAAAGAGAGTGCCTGCATCTTTTGGGTGGTGAAGTTGTTGCGAAGCATTATGGTTCTCTGTTTCATTAACTGTTGTTGAGGTTGGAAACATCCTACTCATTTCTCTATACACGCACATGTGATTGCAGGCACAAACAAATTAATGAACACAACAATATAAGTGAAGCAATTAATTAATTATCAGAGTCGTTAAATGGTGAAATATATATTAAAAAAAATAAACCTTAACCCTAAACATTTTATCACCTAAATACTTCATTGATATTTATTTTTTATAATAGAAACAAAGTGATGGTGACTGTTTTTAATGGCTCAAAACTCATTATTTATAGTCTGTATATATAATTATTACGACCACGATAATATTTTTTTATTAACATTTCTTTAAATTATTTTGTCTCTTAGATAATTCTATAATTTGCATCACTATTATGTTTTATAAGTTATTATGATTGCTAAATAAATATACACAAACTTATTAATTTATCAAATCTACATAAGATTATTTTTGTGGAAGATACTTGTAGTTTTGTAAAAAATAAAAATAAAATTCAAGCATCATTTAAGCAATTAATCTAGTTATTTTTATGAAATAATTTTCTTTTAGTAATTGTTTTATTTTATTCCTAACCTCTTCGTATACGTTCATATGATTTTTTTAAAAATAAATTCTTAGCTCAAATTCACTGTCTACATAAAATTCTCACAATAAAAACCTTTACCATGTTATGAATGAATTTAAAAGAAAGACTATTTTTGAAAGAAAAATGCAATAAAAAAAAAATCAATATACCGACAAAGTTGCAATTTTGCAATATATCACAAAAGTAATAGAGATGATACTTAACCGGTTAATCCCGTGTATTATTTCACTCTCAGCACTTTCACATTTTTTTTCTCTCTCACTTCTAAAGCTTTTTAGTTATGCTTTTGGATGATGTTCTTCATGTCTCACAGTTTCTATTTATAAAAGAAAAAAGTAACAATGTGGCAATTATTTCTCCGAAAATTTTTGCACCGCAAGCTATGCCTCTAGTTGATACTATTGAAAACTTTTAACCATTGTGCATTAAATTTATTGGTTGAACTTTCAAGCTTGTTTGGTCACACGGTACCTCTAGAAAAAGATATCGTGTTCATTTCCATGTTATATCCGAAATATCCAATATCTTGTTAGTTACTTCATAAATTAAACTAATATACTGTTAAGGTAATAATGTGTAACGTCCAATTTATATAATAATAAATATTTTTTTATATGATATTATCATAATTATAAAATTTTGAGAACTCATTACATGACATATCATTCTAAAAATATTTATAATTACGTATTATTTTATACATGTTTCATTTCTTCCATCTCTATTACAATAATTACATTGATAGTGAAAATAAATTTACAATTTGACTAGTATGATTGGCAAAAAGAAAAATATATGAATATAATCATATATCTTCAAAACGTAACAGAATTGGAAACAACATCCACAGCCCAGTTCCATTTAAGGTAGACAACAATAATAACAATTGTAAAATGTCCTCGAATTGTAGGTAGATCCATCTATTTGGTAATAAATTTAATTTTAAAAAACAAAGAAAAGTGAGGAGTGAGAACAATATCCAATAAATACAATAATTCAAAAGAATGTACAAAATTATTTATAATCAATATTGAACATATATATATATATATATATCATATATCAATTTTTCATGTTATAATAAAATTTGAATTATAATTGTAGTGACTAGTCAGGATAAATGAACACATCATAATATCAACCAACAAAAGGATATTTCACTTTAACCAACAAGAGGATATTTCACCTTCATTCCTTACTCATTTAAATTTTCAAGGTCAAACCTCCAACTACAAATAATTCAAACTTTATCTTCTATGGCCATAGAATAATATTTATCTTCATAAATACATGAAGAAATACCAACAAGACGAGTCAAAGATATGAAAATTATATTATAGTTGATGATAAAATATATTTACGTAAAAAGAATATATTAAATGTACCAGTCATATAAATAAAAATGACAATCATTGTAAAATAATTAAACAACATAAAATATGAACACCTTAATAATTATTATGGATAAAAATAATCATAGATTAAACAAATAAATGAGGTTAGGGACGTCTCACTAAATAAATATACATAAAATATAATATAAATAAATATTAAAGATAAAAAAATACCTTTAAATTTTAGAGGAATAAAAATAAAAATAAAATTATTTTATATATAAGAATCAAAATAAAAAATTTTTCATATTTTAGAAACTATAAACAATGATTCTAAATTTTAGAGGACTAAAAAACAAATTTTTTTTTATAAAGACTAAAATTAAAATGCGTTTATTTCATAGAAGTAAAAATATATTTAAATCTAAATGTAATTTGGTAAAATTATCAAACTTCAATTTGATGATTATAAAAGGATAAGTTTGAATAATGAAAAAAATAATAAATATCAATTAATTATTTTATGTGGAAATTATCATAATTTCATATTAAAATGTTATATGACTCACATTAACATATTTATATTATAGAGAACACCGGCTGAGTTGGTTCAAGGTGAGCCAGATAATAATGATATGGTGTGTTCAACTTGCAATGCAAAAGAAGAATGAATGACACACATATTTTTCTAGTTCAAAACATGTGTAACTGTAGATAGCTTGTTTTGGATGGTGAGGAATTCATGCATCTTTGCATGGTTTGATAAAAGAAAATTTGTTGCTGTTTAAAGGCTTAATATAAAATGCAAAAAAGGGACGCATGTTGTATGATTTACAATTATGAGTTATTTGGAAAGACAATACTTTCTTACGAAAAAATAAGATTTTTCTAAGATGTTGAAGATGTTGAAGATGTTGAAGGTCTTATCAACGAGATGGATTAAGAGCAAACAGAGTATTTCACATCCTCTATGATGGTAGTCAAATCACCCTATATCATGCGTTGGAATAGGTTCTTGATTTTTTAATCATGGATTTGATGTAATTTGTTTCGTCACATGTTTTTCTTTTGAGAAAAATGGTACATCGTGATGACTCTTCATGGATGGTTTTTGGTCGGCGTAAAGTCCCATCAAGAATCGAAATTTATTAACTCGTAAGGTCCCCCCATCAAGGATTGAAATTTATCTACTGGTGAAACCAAACCCGTCCAAATATACTTTTCAAAGATTTTGAAATTCTACATCCACCATCAACTTTTCACAGAAAAGATGAAATTTCCATTTCTATCATAATTAATTGTTTTCAGTACAAGTATACTTTTACCAGAAAACTAAACAAACCAATGTCAGTACAATCCTATTTTATGAAGTAAAACAATATTATAAAAAAAAAAATCATTTACCATGAGATCCTATTCGTATAGATTTAGTTTATAAAAATAGTATGATCATTTGTAAAAGTATTTTAATAACTGATCGTTGTTTTTTATAAGTTTATGAAAATGACAGATTTTCAAAATTATCTTAATGTGATGATTTCGGTGAACAAATTCATCATATTGTTCATTGGTGAACATGTGAAAAATAATTATTTTTATTTTTATTTTTTAAGAAGTTTCATAGACTAAACTCTAGTGATTCCTGCTTGATCTTCACTCCAACAATAACACACTTCCACAAACTCACTTGTTGAGGATGGTAACCTGTCGACTGCACTATGACTGCGGCCAAACTCGATGTAGGCAAGGTGGAAGCTGCATTTGTAGATGTTGCAGAGGACGAGTTGGTGGTGGTTACCCTGCATGCTTGATCTTATAATAGTGAATTTGAGTTTAACTCAACTCTACAAAATTGACTTGTAAAATGATGATTGTTTTTTACTTATATACTATTTAATTGACTAATCTCTAGTCGACGTAAGACTTGAATTTTTTTCAATACATTCCTTCACGTCTAACACTATTGGGCTTGGTACGTATTTAAATGGTTAATGACTCTTTTGAATGATTTAGGATAAGTAACCCATTTTAAAGATCTAGGATAGTCCTGATATCATTTTAGAATAGTGAATTTGAGTTTAATTCAATCCTATAAAATCGGCTTGTAAGGTGAGGATTGTTTTCCATTTATATACTATTTAATTGTCTAATCTCTAGTCGATATGCGACTTGAATTTTTTCCAATATTAGTGCAACCGACGTAGGGAGCCAGGCTGTGGGGGAGAGCAATGAGCCTTCTCTATGGTGGCACGGGGTTCTTGTGATAGACGATGTCGATGACGAAGTCTAATAGGGTTTTAGTGAAGGAAAAGGAAAGCCAAGGAATCTCATTCATGCAGCTTCCTTGTCAAAGTCAAAGTTTAATGTTGTTGTTGAAGTGGGCGTTCACCGAAAAGAAGTGTTACGGGTTTGAGGCTTACGTTTTCTCCTTAGTACTTGTGCTTTCTTCTTCTTTATCATGTACCTTCTCCTTCTTTGCCCCAGACCCAAATCATGTCTCCTTCATCTTGGCTCTTGGAGGGTTAAAGGTTATGTTATTGTTAGTGTTAATGTAGCCAAAAAAGGAGATTGGGATTGACAAAGTCGAAGAAAGAGATTAGGATTGACAAGTTTAAGAAGAGGTTTAAGGTTGACTGAGATGGCATTGGCGGTGATGAGGTTTTTTTGGACAAAATGATCAATAAAAAATAAAATTAACACATTAATATAATTTTTATCAAGAACAACATATGTTCCACCAGAGGATGTCACTGCTGCAGTAACTGATGCACCACTCGAGAATGCTCCTCCTACAACTATGGATCTTTCCTAGAAGCTTTGATTGTCTTGCTTCTTCCCTTCTATTTTTTGGGAAGGGAAGTTAACAATTTCTCCACTTCATGATACATTTTGTTGTCTTGTATTTCTCTAAATGATGCTTCATTTTTATTGAAGCAGATGAAATGTGTTACATCGTCAATGACAATCTTAAATGAGTTCCTTGTTTCAAGATTTTAATCAAATTGAGAAACTATGATTTTGACTCATATTTGTGTCATCAACTAAAAATTAATGATATACAATAGAATCAAGAATAAAACTCGAAATAAAATTGACTGTCAAACAAGTACTAAGCTATATCA